GAAGTGCTGGCTGGGGGGTAAGGGTGGAGGTGGGGTCGGGGAGGAGAGGGTGGAGGGGCTCAGAGGGCGCTGCCCGGCTGTGCCCTTGCCAGCGCCCTCTTGCCCTCCCCAGTCTCCCCCAGGAAGATCCCTGCTGTCGGGGAAGCGGCTTTGTCTGCTCCTTGGGGTGGCTCCGCGGTGGGTCCCAGCCTGCTCCTGCTCATGGTAGCCGAGCGTGTTTTGCTCTGAAGTAGCCAGAAGCAAACCCCGGTGGGATTTACAGCGGAGCAGCTGCCAGATGCCTAGTGCATCTCTTCAGGCAGAGCTGACGGCGCTCCCCAGACCAGCCCGCTCAGAGCGGCCCCTCTCTCCAGCCCCCTGCCCCCCCGCGCGGCCGAGATCACTGGGTTCGGCGCAAAGTCGACACCTTCTGCTTCTGACTTCGTCCCACCTCTTTGCTTTGTGGCTGGCTTTTAGCCTCCGCATCTCATCCAACCCCAGCCCGTGCTGGGGACTGACTTCCAGTACGGTGACTGAGATCGCAATTTGAGCGGCTGTGTGTTCTGGCTTGTGGTTTCTGTGTGCTTCTTGCTTGTGGCTTGAGGCTCCTGGGTTGGGTGAATTGTTCAGGTTTATCTAAGACAGTTGAGTAGAAGGTTTTGTGTTGTTGGGTTGTTTTTTTTTAAGGGCACTGTTTCACGATAACTTGGTGATAGCAATCCTCTGTGGCTTGAAACCTTCAGAGGAGGCGTGTTGGGTCATTGGGGAATCGGGAAAGGATGCAGCGCTGACGTCTGGAAGTGCGTGGCTGCGGTTTCCCGTAACTTCATATCTCCCTCCAACCCAACTTAGCAATCGCTATACTCAAGTTGCCCATTCCCTCCAGTAGAAATATATCTGCCGTTGATCTAGTGTCTTGTCTTGCAGATTCTGGCACAAAAAGTCAAACTTTTTATTCCTGTGAGTGAAAATCAATGAGACTCTTCCAAGCAACCAACATTTAACTGTGTATAAGCATTTCATAGCTGTTAGGGGCTGGAAGAGGGACCTTGCAGATCATCGGATCCAGTCCCTGGTTTGTGGGATTAGGGTCCTAATTAGGATACCAGTTTGTTCTGGCATTCCCAGCCTCTTGCTCGATTTTTGTTCTGTTTCTTTTGCAGTGTAATGAACAGAAGGGGTGCGGGATAACAAGAATGAGAACAGCTTTTGTTTGAGCTAGAAAATGCCTGTGGTAAACCAGGCTTGTGCCGGAACATTTCAGGGAACTAAAAAAAGGCAAAGGACGTCAAGTATTTGTAACCAGTCACCCACTACACAACGTGTGTGTGGCTTCAGTGTAGTCTGACTCTTTTAACAGTACTGGTTTCGTGCGTGGAGAGTAGGTTTTTCCATGACAAGCTGAT